TTATAATTAAATAAAATTGTTTTGTTCTAAAGGTATGTATTTATCCCCTATGCACCCAGACCTCGTGGACACCCTGTATAATTACTTGTTGATTAGCTATATAATCGTATCTTTTCTGTTGCTGCTACTATCTCCGGCAGGGGATCGAAAACTAAAAATAATAAACCAACTGTTCCGGTGCTCGCCCAGTTTACTTAACACATTTTTTCTGTTAAATTTGACTGATCACAACTTGGATTTCAGAAATCAGCTGGTCCGGCGCCGGGTGAAGAGCAGGCGCCGGACGACAATGTCACCGTAGAGAGGCAGTAGTACCAACTGCTGAACGTGATTTGTTCCAACGCTTTGAATGGGCTAGACCAGGGGTCGGCAACCTTTTTGACTCAGAGAGCCAAGCAAGCAAACATTTGAAAATATATTTCAGTGAGAGCCATATAATATATTTTAAGATTCAGTTCAATCAAATGTGAGTATAATAAGCCTCTGGACTTATTAATGGAGGAACCAAAATCACAAAATCTGAAGTTTCTAACGCCAATTTTATCTGAGAGAGCCAGACGCAATCGTCAAAAGAGCCACACCTGGCTCGCGAGCCATGGGCTGCCGACCCCGGGGCTAGACAAACGCAACATCAACCTTGGAGATAACGCGAGCAACGCGGCCTTCCTCGGTTTTTGACGCGTAGTGCAACGACTGTGGGATGAGGGAGAATGAATCGGAAGGTCGGGGAAATACAAGGGTATGCAGACTGCAATGCAATAAATGATTTCTTCGGCTCGATCAGGGTGTTCTATGGTCCCCGGCACCAAAGGATCGGCAACGCAGCTTAGCTCCGACGTAATAACGCTTTTTCTAAGAAGTCACGGATTCTGGAGGGCTGAACCCGATATTTCAGAAATGTACTCGATAACTCATCCACAATCACCAACGCCGCCATCCAAAGATTGTTTCAAGTGGAAATGAATGATGAGCCAGAGCCTTCCCCATCCATCCCCAAAATCAGATATCTAACAGCAAAGCATTGGGATTCAACACAATCCCAGCCGAGCTCCACAAGCACGGTGGCCTTGGGTAGATGGAAATGTGGACTTAACTCTTCTAGACATGGCGACATGAAAAACAAATAAAGGCCAAACTATGCATCACTTTCTTCGATTAATGGAAAGCCACTGACAAGGTCAACTGCGATTAACTCTGAATCAGCAATCTACCAAGCCGAACGGAGCTCCGTTGCCAAGCCCAAGAGTCAAAACTTGCGGACCGATATTTCAAACACCCAAGGCCTTTCGTCACGTCCCCGATGCTAACGAACATTCCGCGCACGAACAGGCCGTCGTCGGGCATCTACGGACCAAATCCACCGATCACCGGAAGACTTCATCCTCGGCTTTCGGAAACGCCCACTCTTTACCCCTACACCAACTCCCACGGCGTTCAAGACAGAAACCACCTCCACCACCACCGAAGTCAGACCGCAATGGCTTCTTCTTACTATGACCTACGTGGCACTTCCGTTCGGCTGAAGTCCGGGAAGATCGCTGTTTGTTTCTGTGAAAACCTGACCCATTGTGTACGCAGCTGGAGTGTAGTACGCGTAGCCAGGGTGTCTAATCTTGCTAGCCACCGCGACCGAATGCGCCTCCGGTCAACCTGACTGCCTTCCCACCGGACCCAGGTGGGCGAGGGAGAAGAGAGCATGAAAGGTGATGTGCAAGTCTGCTATCACTATAAATTAATTCACGCGCAAGTCGACATTCATGGGCCCACGATGTTCTGGGGCGCAGAGTGAACATCGTCGTCTACGATGACCAAACTGTGATTATGCACGCTCCTCGTAGCCAACCTCTTGATCGTATTTGAACTCGAGGACAAATTCTTGTGATTGAATTACATGGGAAAAGAGAAGAAAGTGGATAACTTGCGTGATCTACAAAACCTACATACGACATTGGTCACGACTTCGGACATCATCTTCCTAGCCTATATCACCAATGTGCTTATAATTTTCACAGGCCGACTACGATAGATTTCGAAGGCAAACGATCGTAGTAGGTGCTATTAAAACGATCCTATACGTAATTGTGGCCAGATTGCTCTCATACAGGACTGCTCCATTCTTTATTTTGTGGAAATATTTTCAAATTATATGGACGTTATCTACAGGGATAGTTGAATTTCTTCATAGAATAATGCCGTCTAGGTAGTCTAGAAAGGCATGGACGGAGTCTAGGGACACAAAACAGTGAAAAAAATTCGTTAAAGCTGCTACTTAGTAGTCATCTTCTAAGATATTAGGAGATATCGTTTGTTAGCTATTCGCACAATTAGGCCAGGCTTTGTGACAACAGAAGGCGTGGAAATGATAGCAGCTTCGAAGAAAAAAAAGCAGCGGGACAGTTGTCAACGGACAGTCGACAAAAAATATCCAAGCAATTTTGAATTAGCGCGCAAACACAATGTAATACACCGGACTGGTGGGCATCAGGAAACTCAAAGACACGACTTCTGCAGACTTGAATGTCACATCAAGCAGTGTTTAGGCATGAGGTAAACACAGCCTGCGTTAGTGAATAACCTCGGAGCGAAGAAGTAACTTCGCAAAAGCAATTGCCCTAGAAGCACCAAGGCGAATGCGTTTTAACAGATATCACGCTGACTCGAGACTTTTTACCGATAAAATCTATAGAAACTGGAAACGCAACTCTGAGTGGTCAGTGGTCTTTACTATGGGACAGCTTGAATTGACTCTGGACTCGGAGCTCCAAAGTGAAACAGCAAGGGCAGATCGGTGGATGGCACTCTCGGGCCACTCAGCGTTATGGAAAAGTGTGTAAAGCCTCACAATGGTGTCTGAAACGTGACGAAGGATGGGAGAAGGGAGCAAGTGTCGTGCAAACGAACCTGGTAAAACAGAGAAATGACAAATAGCCTTCATCTATATTTCAGAAGTAAACAGGGTGCCAGCAGAGGCGATTCTGAGATCACATATTGCAAAGGTGTTTGCTCAGTAACATCAAAGCTGGTAGGGTGGGGTGAGGCGTGGGGTAATTTGCAATAGGAGCGGGGGGTGGCGGGTCAGAAGTGAAGTCCTGTGTTCAACACGACTGCTTAACGTCTGAGTTGTCGTTTTTCCATTCAATTTTGGGCGCACTGTATGTTCATCTCGGCTGCCATTTTTTCTACCTGGCGGTACCGATATCGCCAGTAGTTAGCGCGTACCCGGTCGAGCTCCAGCGCCAGGCGATCACATAGGCTGATGAGTTGGCGGACAATGTCCTCGGCCTTCTCCGCGTCCCCCACGCCAGCAGCATTAGCGCTATAGTCGGACGCAGACACAGAACAAAAAACACACACGTTAGAAAGCGGAAAAAGGCAAACTATCACAAATACTACATTCAGTTAATTTGGTTAAATGACGCTTTGATGGGAGGGGGCACTGGTGAGCAACTGTGTTAGAAAATGAATCACAAGGCTTTCCCATAGCACTAGCGGATGGCGGCAAGTAAGGTGGAAGATATCATGTCAATCTTCTATGCTTTTATCTATTTGAAATGAAAGAGTCGAGTATTCATCAATCCGTTGATGAACTCTCACCTATCGCTAAAGGAACTCACTCGACACGTTTTGTCTTGGGGCTCACTTTCGAGAAACGCGAAA